TTTAGGAAGGCAGGTCTCTTAGCCATGAACCTAAAAATATGTCTGCTCTGTTTTCCTCCTGAGATTTTGGGCCCACATGCATTCATGCCCAGCATGATTTTCAAGTTGCCAGATATAAGACTCAAACTGAGATTGGCCATGTGGGAGTCTGGTACCTGGTACCTGACACACTATGCCACCTGCTAGCTCCACCATAAGTTGTATCTTATTCTAAAGATTGGGAAAATTGGACTGATAAACTCAGAGATTTCCACAACAAGTCATAAAACTTTAACCTTTGTAAATAGGTCCTTGACTCATTCTTTTAGGGGATTAAATGTGAATCAATAATATTCCAGTGACATTATTCACTAACAAAAGTATTACCTGATACTAAGATGTTTGGTTTGTCTTATATCAGGAGAGTTTTACATGTAAGGTTGTGTAGAAATTTGGCCAGAAAACTTTGGACTTGGTAATAGCAATGCACACCAATTTGAAAGCATCTCTTTTGTGAAACTTCTATTTAGGGTAGAGCCGACTCCAATGTTAAGAAACTAACACTCACACCCATATGCAAGGGTGTGAATTTTCTTCTAAATGGGTTTTTTGCTATTATAGTAGTTACAGTCTTTAATTCAATGGTATGGGAGATTTCCTAAAACAGTGTAGAAATATTCTTTCACTGCGTTCTTTCGCACAATTCAAACAGCTCTGTTAGTAAACTGAGATGCAGTTACGTGACATAATATATATTTTATCATTTAGATCCAGCCTCAACATCAGTCCCTCTAAGAGGCCTTCCTCAATCACCTAATCTATTTTATTTATCTTTATTATTTGCTGGAGGGTACATGTACTCTCTAGAAAGACACACACACACACACACACACACACACACACAGAGAGAGAGAGAGAGAGAGAGGATGGTCATATGCCACACAATCACTTCTTCACTATTTGTCCTTTCAGGATTTTGGACACACAAACACACTTACCTGACTTATTATTTTTTTTTTAGATTTTTGCCATAGGGTGCATGTGCTCATGGGAGAAAGATAGAGAGAGACAGAGCTAGAAACAGGGAAAGTGAGAAATCACCCTCCAGGAGGTGTGGCCATGCCGCCATCCCCTTTCTTCTATTCTTCTCTCAGGATTTTTGCTATACATACACATGCACCTGTAATGATTTTTAAGCAACCATGTCTGGGACTCAAACCATGACTGGGCATATGGAATCCAGCTCTATAACCACCATGTTACCTTCTGGGTCCCAGGCATGTTGCCAGGTCCAAGACTTGGGACCAGCAATTAGCATAATGGCTATGTCACTAGACTCCCATGTAGTCGACTGCGGTTCAAGTCCCAGACCTGGTGGCTTAAACTCACTCCAGGTGTGTGTGCATGCGTGCCCAAGATCCCAAGAGAAGAATGGAGAAGGGATTGCAGTGTGACCATCCCCCCTGGGGGGTGAGTTCTCGCTTTCTATCTCTCTGTCTCTCTGTCTCTCTCTGTCTTTCCGGCGAGCGCACGCGCCTTATAGCGGAAAAACCTCTCCAAAAAAAAAAAAAAAAAAGACTTGAACCACATAGTCAGCCATCTGGGATCCAGTGACTTTAACTACCACACACCGGCTGGAAATAACCACCACAACACTGGCTGGCCCCCATCCACATAGTCTAAAGTACCTATCTTGTGACTTGTTTCACTTAATTCTAAGTTGGTAGCACATAATGCATTTCTTGATTTTAAGTTTTGTTTCTTGTTTCTTTTATCCAAACATCATGAGGCACATACTAGAACATAATTTTCATGCAGGATAGGTCTTATCTGTTTGCTACCATGTTTGCTATTCCTAGAACAATTCCTGGCACATAGTGAGCATTTTGTAAATATTTCTGAAATAAAAATGTGTATATATACATATACATACATATATATACATATACATACATGTATGTACACACACACATATACATATACATATATATATAATCATACTAATGGATTAGATCAAAACAAAATTACGGGAACCAGCAGTTAGCGTAATGGCTATGTCGCTGGACTCCCACGTAGTCGACCGCGGTTCGTGTCCCGGACCCAGTGGCTTAAAACTCACACCGGGCGCGTGTGCGTGCGTGCCCAAGATCCCGAGAGGAGAATGGAGGAGAAGGGATTGCGGCGTGACCATCCCCCCTGGGGGGTGATTTCTCGCTTTCTGTCTCTATGTCTCTCTCTGTCTGTCTGGCGAGCGCACGCGCCCTACAGTGAAAATCTCTCCAAAAAAAAAAATTACCAGGTTGGATTGAATGAGTGAGTTGCAGTATCTTTCTGAATCAAAGGCTACCTAAATTTATATTATTAAAGTTTATTGTTGGTTTCTGTGGAATGAACAAAGGCTCCCTGTCAGTTTTCTGCCCATCATGGATTCTGAATCTTTATATGTCAATCTGGGCTAAGCACAGTTGATGAAACTGGAACTTATAATTCAGCACAATTTCTGTCTGGAGACTTAGCCACGAAGATATAGATGGAACCACAGTCATTTTAAAATGAAAATTAAATTCATAAGTGGCCAAAAACTATACCTTATGAGCATACTCATCTGGCTTCATATTTTGGACATGGTGTATCGCTTTATACATCATCTTCTCTCGGAAATCATTAACCGTCTCACGTTCAATAACTCCTGAGCCACTGGGAGCAACCAGGACATAGGTGCTCTCATCAGCTCTGGCTCGACCCCGGGCCTGGGAACATAAAGAGATCAAGTAAATGCAAGACTCTCTGCCTCCTGGCTAACTCTCCTCATTTCAACCTGGAATGATATTTGTTGCCTAGTATTCCAGCCATCAAATGTTCTTCCTGTTCTCACTAAAGTTACTTATCCATTTCTTGTAAGTCAGCTCTTTAAACTTAGAAAAATGCTTTAATACAGACACAATGCTCTATACTGATATTAGTTGAGTCCCCACACATGCCTTCAAAGCCCTCAGTAATGTAATACCATCCTGTACAGTTTTTTTGTCTCCAGAATCTCTCAAACCATGGAGACCATGATCCAGTGATTGGACTGTGGGAGTCCTCCTGCGTTATAGAAGAGATGAATGAGGAAAGGGGAAATCTCTGACCTTGGCACCAGAGTTGGTGGGGTGCAGGTCTGTTCCTGGAACCCTACATGGGATTTTAAGCATGTTTTCTTGGTTGATAAATTTCTATGGGCCTCTTTATAAAGTGATATTCAGGTACATTTTGAGTAATAAATGTTTTTGGCCCAGCCCAGAAGTCTCAGCAATAATATTAGTCTCAAGGAAAAAAAAATGCACTGTAAGTAATAAACAACTGACTTTTAAACTAACTCCTGAAATAAAAAGACATCCTATTTTGATGGCTTTCTGGTAAGTATCTTAATCTTCTATGACCTGCCTCCTAACCAAGGATGCAACTTAAAAGTATTTTTTTAAAACACATTTAATTTTACATGAATATTATCATATCTATTAATCAGCATAAGTCCTGTACATAATAAGAGGCAATGATAATATAGTTAATGCTGGTGGCTAACAGATAAAGTTAAATTTGAATAAAAACTACTGATTTATTTATTTTTGCATTTATAAGTTCACACTGACCCAACATTTTACTGTAAAAATTTTCAAGCACACGGAAAAATTGAATGAAGAAGAGAGGAAAATGCAGAAGTGGTAGCATTGTCTCAAGTTTGGGCATGTGACTTTGCAGGACGCTCATGATTTCTAGAACAGCTGGGGACTCAGGTATTCTCAGAAAGAAGGGGCCTCTCTTGACTCCTAAAATGAGGCCGATGTCATGGTCCTGGAAAGTCTCATCAGATAGAAATGACAGTTAAGAAAAAAAAGTTGTTTAAAAATACAATAGGTATCTGATTGTCACAGGAACTAAACAACAGCAATATAAAAGGTAATAGTACACAGTTCTATAGGATTGTTCTTTTAGCAAGAAAGATATATTTTTAAAACTAAAGTGATGTTTTGAGTTTTACTTTAAAAAGCAATTAAATACAAAGACAGACATAAAAATAAGCCTAGTACATAGAGGTATATGAATGTACCTGCACCATGGCTATTTCATTAGTGACAAGACCATAACGGATCACAATGTTACATTCTTTGATATCCAGACCTTCTTCTGCCACAGTAGTAGCGATAAGCAGATTTATTTTTCCAGTGCGAAATTTACTAATGACTTCTCTCTGTTCATTCTGTAGAAACATTTTAATAAAATAAATTTCGTGATGCTAAACACATTAAAATCTTCTAATTAAGAGAAGAAATAATACATTGCAACTGGTCAGTGTAAATCAAAGGATTAGATCATACATGGATTTGCTGCCATCTGGTTTTTGGCATTGAACAAAGACAGGATGGGGAGACAACATTTGATTTCCAATCTGGGATTACCACACAATAACAAAAATATTTCCATCCTCCAGTCTGGAGGTGGAAAGGCCGTCATTTGTGCCAAGGAAATAGTGGCAACTCGGGAGGAAGAAATGAGGAGAAGATGTTTGTGGAAAGAGGATGTGGCAATGAGAAGCTAAAACGGATTTTTCTTTTTACTACTACATTAACTGCTGAAACTTTAATATTCAGAGAATAAGGTGGAGTGATGTTTTTGAGTCATTGAGAAAATGCACACTGTAAACCACATTTGGACAGTTAAAGAATCATTTAAGCAGGAAATAAATGGGAACTCCTGGAAGGACATATGAGAGGTGAAAACATTGGTTGTTTCCAGCAAGTGGCGCTGGAAGACTGAAAGATGGTGATACGCTTTGTCCCTTATTAATTGTGAGTGACATGAGTGTACTATCTATTTAAAAGGATAATAAAAATAAAAATGGAATCAGTGACTAAAATATAACTAAAACAATCTTTTAATGAAAAAATATGAATTTTGAAAGTTAATATCAAAAATTAAAATTTGCCCTCTGGCTCTTGTATAGGAAGAAGGGGAGAACATAATGGCCATGTTCAGTTAACTGTCATTTTATTTTTATAACCACCCTCATCAAAGCTGTTGGTCCTGTTGACATTTGGTACACATCTACACTATTTTTTTGTCCCCATACATCAAATAAAAATAAACCTGCCAGACCAACAGTATGTTTTCCCATGCCATGCCCTTTCTTCTCAGAGGCAGTATGAGACTTTATTTGACTCCTAACTACCGGAGAACCTAGTAGAATGGCCTTACTTAAGTTTTCTCTGATATGTTCCTTCTCCTGCCCTTACGACCACTGATAAGAACTTACATGTACTTGGATTTTAGCAGAAGATATCTGCACCTTGATTCCAAGGAGTAACTTAAATAATGAAAATTAAAGACACAGTGTTAGATCATCAGATCTTATCAAATAAATGCCTAACTCCTCTCCTAAATGTTAGGAAACAACAGAACACCTTGTGCTTCTAGAACACCTTGGATTTATGAACTCTGAATGAATGACTGCAGAGAAAAATGCCCCAAATGCCTAACCTCTTGTCTTCTTGCTCAAAAAAGACGTGAGGCCAATGAGTGTGAGTACATGCTTAGGAAAAAAAGGTGAAAATGCTTAATTTCATGTCTTCTGCTTGATGGGTGTGTGAGCTCATGAATGTGCTCTCCAAATTCCAAGGTGTGCTGCCCAGCCTCTGCGTCATTTAGCCATAATACCCTTATTGGTACTGAAACGAACCTGTCCCAGGAATTACCCTCTTTCTAATCCTCCAGAAGCAGCTTTCTCTAAAATTAACTTTCCATCCTCCTTTGCTCTAATAAATATAAAGGATGAGAGAGGCTTAGAGGTGCATCCTGGGATGCCCCGTCCTCTCCCTCTTGACCCAAGTCCCTGTGTCTCAAGTACCACTTCCATGCACACTTCGAGTGACTCTCTGCTGGAAGGAAGAGTCACACCTAATGAGTGAGTCCATCTCAGTTTACAAGGTGACGATGCATTGACTGAGGGGGGGGGGGCGGTGTATGTTCAGTATGCAGCCCCCCGGTTTGAAATGGACAAAATGTAGAAAATATTAAGTGGTCAGGGAAGTCATGACATGTTTTTCTGTTTTCCTATGCCAAAATGTGTCATGATTTTCCTGACAACCCAATAGTTTGAAAACAAACTTATTACATTCTACCTCTTTTAAAAAGAAGCTGAGTCCACTGCAATTCCTAAGTCCAAAGTCAATATAACAGAAAGTAAAAACAAACAAACAAACAAAAAACAAGACCAAGAGTGAAAGAGTGCAAAAATTAACACAGAAGTTGTGAGGCTGAACTTCATTTTTGCCTGAAAGCGAACCAAAAGGAGGAAACAAACTTGTTATCCAAGGAAAACGGTGCCTTCTCTGGCATTTAATTTTAGAGGAATTTATGACATGAGTAGATGTAGAGGGTGTATTAAGTATTATAGTGGACTATTTACATTTTTTTCCAGCAAATATTTACAAGAGATTGCACTTACTCCATGGACCTGAATGATGATGACTATATTGGAAGTATACCCTCATGCAGCAAGACTCAGGGTCTATGCAACTTTACTCTTCAGTTTACTCTTAAAAGGTATCACTGTTTCACCCATTCTTGTAATGTCTACAAGTGCCTTTTCCCTTTTCATAATGTGTTTCACTGTGCACACAACATAACAAAATGAAACCAAACAAAACACCTTCTAAAGGAACAGAAAACCTTCTCAAATCTCTAGCACATGAAATATTATAATTTTTGTAAGTTCTCTCACAGGTTTCACTCTATACAAACATATTTTAATATATTTTATGAGGTTTGATTTGTTCACTTGACACTGTAAACATTTCTCCACTTTATTAATTTAGGTGTCATTGATTTTTGTAAGGGAAACTCAGCTTAGAAAGTTCCTTCAGATATATAGATAGATAGATAGATAGATAGATAGATAGATAGATAGATAGATAGATAGGATAATGCTTTTCCTGTCAAACACCAAAGATTAGGTACCTATATGACTCAAATTTTATTTCAAGAACAAGTGCTTCATTGTGAACGCTTACTTAGGGAATGGTGTGAGAATCTGTGTAAATAAATAAATAAACTCCAAATAATTTGAAAAGAGTAATAACAGAATAAAAAAAGAAGTCCTAAAAGACGTTTATACCTGTGTCATAGGTTTGAACTCACTGCTGTGTCCAGCTCCAATCAGATGATGAGCTTTGACTCCCACTTCTGCAAATTTTTCATTTTCAGTAATCCACTGTGAAAGCGCATATGCGCTCTGTCGTGTTTTTGTGAAAATTATTCCCCGTGCTGATTCCTCAGTCCTAGTATATTGTTCCATTATGGTGTTTCTTAACTTCGTCAGCTTCTCATTTTCATGTTCTGGGTTTTCGGCCAGCTTTTTCAACATTTTCTTGTTTTCTTTAGGAAATAATGATAGTGAATATGTTAATCAGCTTGACTTAGCCATTTCACAACACATTCACGAATTGAAACATGTACACTATAAATATACATAATTTTGTAAATTAGAAGTTATTTAAAATTATTTTAAAAGAAATAATTAGTCCAAATGAGTAAAATATACAAATAACTGAATTGGAAGATTTTACATAAGAATGCACTGTGATGTGACTCATCTACAATTAATCTTGTGACCAGGCTACTAAAGAAATACATTTGGGGCCAGCAGATAGTGTAGTAGTTACGTCGCTGGACTCTTACATGGCCAAGCACAGTTGCAAATCCTTACTTGGTGGCTTAAAACTCACGCTGGATGTGTGTTCTTGTGTGCCTAAGATCTTGAGGGGGGAATAGAGGAGAAGAGATTTAGGTGTGGCCATCCTCCCTGGGGGGGGGATTTCTCACTTTCCCTCTCACTGTTTCTGTCTCTCTGTTAAGTGCATATACCCTAAGATGAAAGCCTCTACGAAAAATAAATAATAAATTCATTGTAATGGTCTTGACAATAAAACTAGATGATCAAATGACCAATTGTCATCATGTAACTCATAGTTAATCTGGTGACATCAATTTAAAAAGCCCCAACCTGAGTGGGATTTATTTTTCAAAATGTTATTTTTTAAATTTATTTATTTTTTCATTTCATTTCCTTTTATATATTCAATTACACTATTATTTGGCTTACAAAATGGATATTTCAACAGGTGAACATTTCTCCCTAGTATAGCTGATAAAAGTACAAAATATCTTCAACAGGTAATACCACATTTCTTTGTGCCATTAAAGCTTTGTCTCCCTGTTTTTCTTCTAAATGCCCTTCCTCAGACCCTCTTTTTTCACACACACTATATCTGGTATTTACATCTATATCTTGTGTTTCTATATCCATTAGTCAGTTTCAGTCATAGAGTGTGGGCATTTTAAGAGGGTATTTTAGAGAGTTTATGAGGAGTACCAGGTTCATGTCAAAGAGGTAATAAATGCATGATACTACTCAAAACATGTTACTTTGAATCTTACCAAAAAATAAGTCTATGAGAAATCTATCTGTGCCATCCAGTTTCACAGATTTCTTTAAATCATTCTTATCTTCATCACCATCACAGTCATCATCATCACTGTTATCACTATCATCTTGTAGGATTGCAAACCTCTTTTCTTTCTCATCATTATAGAAAGTTTCAAGGTGGTTGTATGCATCAATCATTCGGATTGTGTCATTAATTTGTAGGGCCTCGTTGTACTTCCTCAAATGTTCTGTACAAACACGGTCTTTGCGATTTCCTTCTCTTGCAGCTAAGAAACAATACATTAAGGAAATGAAACAGTGAGAGAACATATCTATACTGTGGACTTCAATACATTTATGATACTGACTCCAAAACTGGCTTCATCTTGGTTTTGAAATGGGCAACTTAAGGCTAAAATGAGTCATGAGATCTGAAAGGAAGCAAGTTTTCCAGTTGTAAGACTTGCTATTTGAACTCTGCTTTCAGCAATAAATATTTAGTTCACAGAGGAAAAGCCTAAAAAATATATTAGTTCAGTTTGTCTTTAGAGACCATTGTTTATATTAATACTTAAAATACAGAATAAACAAAAGACTGACTAAAAAGTGAAAATGGAATGAATTGGTATCTCTTTCCATAGATTAAGGAATTAGAACATGCTTATTCTAGACCTACATAGAGCACAAACATTTTATTGGATTGTTGGGAAAATCATGACAAATTTTTGCATAGACAAACTCAATATTTGATATCATGTTTGCTTTTAGTTTCCTTGGTACTATATGAAATAGATATCTGAAACCTTGCCATACATATAGGATAAACTAAGAGTTAGGTCAAAACCCAAATTACCTTTTTTTTCCATTTGAATGGCCCATTGTTCATAGGGTTGAGTTCCAAAATCTGACATTGGACTCAGTTGGCAATAAGTTTGAATCTTTGTCATTATTTCTAGGAGTTTTGCTTTAAATGGATCCTAAAAGATAAATTATATACTTATTCTTACATATTTACATTGTTAAAAGAGTAACATTATCTCCTTTAAATTAACTTCTATGTTATAATAAATTTGATTCAGGTTAACCTCTGATCACTTCTTTGCACATTTATTTATAACAGTTTCTCTTTTACTCTGCCATCCAGCCACTTACTGAGTGAACCTGCTGAAATGAAAAATTCTATGAAAGTAAAGTTCATGAATGACATAAATCTTGAATGCTGGAGGTAATTTAAAAACCACATACCAAATTAATGCCACGAGTATATTTAGAAAGCTTTCCATCTAATTTAAGAAATATGCCTTTGGGGAACCAGCAGTTAGCGTAATGGCTATGTCGCTGGACTCCCACGTAGTCGACCGTGGTTCGTGTCCCGGACCCGGTGGCTTAAAACTCACGCCGGGCACGTGTGCGTGCGTGCCCAAGATCCCGAGAGGAGAATGGAGGAGAAGGGATTGTGGCGTGACCATCCCCCCTGGGGGGTGATTTCTCGCTTTCTGTCTCTAATGTCTCTCTCTGTCTGTCTGGCGAGCGCACGCGCCCTACAGTGAAAATCTCTCAAAAGAAAAAAAAAAAAAGAAAGAAATATGCCTTTGAGCAACTGGTTTTAGTATTATTTCTACCTATATAAAAAGTTAGGTTAGAGTTTGAAGAAAGGCAGACACAAAAAAGTACATGTTATATGATTCCACTGATACCAGTCCAAAAATCAATCAAAACTAAATTTTGGTTGTAGAAGTCAGGATAGTAAGTGTCCTTGGGATGTGGTGACCAAAAGGAGGAACTATCAACATTCTGTCTTTTATCTGGATTTTGATGACACAGATATGTTCAGTTTATAAAAATTCAGCAATCAATACACTTATGTATACTTTTCTGTACATATTATATTTCAATTAAAATTTATAATAAAAATTAAGTAAATTAAAGATGTCAAACTTTTAGAAATTTCTTAAGCAATATATTTATTAAATGATTTTAAGTAGAAATGTGATTTAAACTCGACAATTTACACTGGATAAGTAAAAAAAAAAGAAGTGAAAACAAATCGAGTATTTTCAAATGTGCTAGTGCAGCTGGAATATAAAGTAGTCTTTTCAGAATTTCAAACACAAATCATCTGTAGGTGGCGGTCACCAACATTGGTTTAGTGCCTACTGCATTTCAAGCCCTTTATTATCTCATGTTACTTAATCTCAACATCCTTACAAGGCAGATTTTCAAGGGGATTAAATTATGCTTTTTCAATTTTACAAAAGAAAGTACTGATGTAATTTACTAGTCATAATGTCCAATTGATTCTCAGTTGATTTTTGTAATAGTGAAGATATTCATTGGAAAAGCACCATTAAATATTTTATTTCTTTACCATGTCAGTGTTTTCCTAAGAAAGCAAATATGCAAATATGCAAATTGGGTAGGATTTCCATTATCATTGCCAACTGTTATCTGGTAGCAACAAAATGGCTCTGTAGTATTCCAGAAAATGAATCCTGGAATTCACCAACCAAGAAAGTAAAAAAAAAAAAAAGAAAAAGAACTGTCACAAACCCTCAAGTTTAGCTATACAGCCCTCTCCACTCCCATTACTCTGTGGCTCATATGTAGCCAAACAATTACTGAGTTAATCTTTATATAAATTAGAACTAAAATAAAAATGAATGCAAGATTTCACAGCAGTGCATTGCTGTGTAATATCAATTTAAAAAAAGACGTAAGTCTGCTAAAATTTTATAATAATATTATTTATATGGGTCATATAAAATAGACTTTACTATCTTTCAGTTAAGTATGATATTGCCAATAAAACAGACACCAAATATTAAGCACGTACTTCTCTGGTATCATCTGCGATTACAACCTTTTTGTAAGGCTCCTTTATTTGGTTTTTGAGCTGCTCAAGATTTTCTTTCACAGTTTTAATGGTAAATGCATCAAGATTGGCACATATCTGGAAAAGAGATCATTGTCAATATTTAAATAATTACATCTTCCTTTCAATTGATTAAATGTAGAGTTATTTTTCATGTAAGAAATATTTGACCTATATTGGTAGCATAAATATGTAGCATAAATTGTCATGTAGGCAATATTTTGCATTAGTTACTAAATATGGAATTTGAGTAATATTTTACTATGGATCTGATTAACCAATAACATGTGTCCTGATATATAAAATGAAGTTTGTAAATCAAGTTTGGTAGGTAATTCCAGAAGTATATTCATTTTTTCCTTCAGTTCCATTTCTAAGCTGGAAAAAGCTACGTGGAAAGAGCATAGCAATTTTCAGGGATTGCTAGACAGTAGTTTTGAGGTAACCATATTACATGAGGCACATTAAAGGTCATGAAGATAGCCATGTCTTCTGCACATAAAGAAGGGGTGTAAATCCAGAGGCAGTTTCAGCATATGTGCCTTGGCTCATAAAATTGGACTTAGTCCTTATATTTGGAGCTAATAACTGAACCTCTGAATTTGTATTTAGTCTATGGTTTTTAGTGAATTAGACTTAAAGTAAGGCCCTTAAAATTAAAATGCACTTTCCATAATGCCCACATACTTCTTGGTCTACTCTGATTCATTTAACACCTAAGATAAGCAACAGTGCTTATGGGAGGTTCTCATTTTGGGGCACCTGACAAGTTTATCTTTAATTAAAGATTTTAATATCTTGAGTTTCCATTTAATTTTAATAACCCAGAGTCCTAGGATTATACATAACAGAAAAGACAAAGGAAACATGCTACTTCGCAACTCATGAAGTAAAACTTTATTATGTGTCAAAACCAGAAAGTTGCATCGTTTATGTATATTTCTATATCAAATAGATCCGAAACTACAGAAGCAGATGTTGGAAAAAAGGTATTATATCAGGCTAGCATGTGGTGTGGTGGTTAAAGTGTGGGATTCCTACATGACTGACCGCGATTGGAGTCCTAGACCTGGCAGCTTGAAAATCACTCTGGGCACATTTGCTTGTATGCCCAATATATAAGAGAAGAATGGAGGAAAAAGGATTGTGGTGTGGCCATATCCCCTGGGGAGTGATTTCTCACGTTCTCTGTCTCTTTCCAGTGAGTGCACACACACTATGGCAAAAACCTAAAAATAATTAAAAATTAAAAAAAAATAAAATAAAAGACATTCTATTTGTCTCAACTTCTCATTATTTTCTGTTCGTCACAATTTTTGTATTGTTCTATGTCATAGTTCTTCACAAAGACATGCACTATTCTGTAGAAAATTAAGTATATTTGCTATAGTTAAAGCAAATACATCTCACTAAATAAATGATTAGGGCCCTTACACTCAATCTTACTTAAAAAGCCTAAGAAGCACTAGCATTTATTTTAGCTTTGATTTTACTGGTTATACATAAAGTTACTGACTTACTTTTAAAATGTGTTCATCAGCTTTCGCTTGTTTTGTGGCCCCTCCAACACCAGGTGAAGCTGTGAGTCCCAGTATCTGAGGTAGGGGAACCACTGGTCTGCACTCTTTCTTGAGTGTATAGTTTTTCAACTTCTGTTTCAAGTAACGCCTCATGATGTTATTATAGACTGCTTCCTTGTTGGTGTGATGACATTCATCAATGATAATGAGAGAAAAATCTTAAAGGAAAATTCACATGGTTCATTATCTGTACCAGCAAACTACAATGAGAGCACTACCTTTTCAGTTATGAACTGAGCAGCCGCGAGGATTTCTTTTCTTGGACAGGACACTGGAGCAGCCCTGTTTACAAATCTAACTCTTCTAGGCACATAAACATACAGAAGTTTACAAATAGTTATTAGGAAACTATTCTTGTTTGATATATCTATTTAACAGATGAGATTAAGATTTTTTTCTTCTTTTCTTTTTTCTTTCTTTTCCTTTTTTCTTTTTTTGGAGAGGTTCTTGCTATAGGATGCGTGTGCTTGTCAGAAAGACAGAAAAACAGAGAGACAGAAAATGAGAAATCACTCCCATGGGGGGATGGCCATGCCACAACCCCTTCTCCTCCATTCTCCTCTCAGGATCTTGGGCATGCACGCACACGTACATGGAATGAATTTAAGTCACTGGGTCCGGGAACTAAACCACAGTCAACTACATGGGAGTTCAGTGACATAGCCGTTGTGTCGTCTGCTGGTCCCTAGATTTAGAAAATTTATAGAGTTAAAAAATGGTGGGAGCAGCAGGTGGTAAGGTGGTTAGGGTGCTTGATTCCTACCTGGCCAACCATGGTTCAAGACCTAGACCTGGTGGCTTGAAAAATCACAGCAAATAGATTAAGAAAAAAAAAAGAAAAACAGTCAAGGGATGAGATTCACATCCTGACTTGTTCCATAAAACTCAGGTACATACTTTTCTTCTTTAAAAAATTATTTAATTTTGTGTTAGTATTTTTTTTTCTAATACACCAAATGAAAAACACATGGGATAGCTCCATGGCCTAAGAGTTAATAGAGCTGGATCCCAGATGGCATACCATGCAGTTCCAAAACTGGTCCCAGTGGCCTGAAGGGTATGCTGGGCATTTATGAGGATGGGCCCAAAATCCCAAGAGGAGGGAGAAATGGAGGAGAATGGATTGTAGCATGACCAGACACCATTGAGGGGTGCTTTCTCCCTTTCCTTCTGTCTCTGTCTCTGTCTGGCAAGTACAAATGTCCTCTAACAATTCAAATGAAAAAAAAAATTAAAAACCTACTATTTAAATAATTTTGTATTCCTTTTAACATTGTAGTTAATTATTATAGTTTTACTCTTTTTTTAGAGAGAGATTTTTGTTATAAGGCTCGTCAGAGAGACAAAGAGAAACAGAAAGACAGAAAGCAAGAAATCAATCCCCAGGGGAGATGGCCAGTTCCCGCAATCCCTGCTCCTCCATTCTTCTCTTTGGATTTTGGGCATGCACACACACGCGCCTGACATGAATTTGAAGTTGTTGGGTCTGGGACTCGAACTGCAGCCAACCACACGGGAGTCCAGTGACTAAACAAATACACCATCTCCTGGTCCCAGTTTTACTTCTTTTCAAAACAGGTTTTGCTTATTTCTTTCATAAGAATTAAAGAGACAGTGACAGAAACAGAGAAAGGAACCCTTGACAGGGTCCTGCCACACACAATCCTTCCCTGTCTTCCAGCCAGCCAAGAACGTTCAGGTCTTTCCTATGTGGCTCCAAAATCTTCTAGTGGCACCCTACTGACTACACCATGGCAACTGGGTCCAATAATGAGATTCTTATTCAGAACAAAGTAATCTAATTACAAACTTCTCAGTTTTTTCTTTTTCCCTTAGGAAGAAGGGCTTTAATGAATGAGAGATGATTTGATCTAATAAAAATTTTTAATCACTTAAAAAATTACTTAACCAATATAGCCTCTATTACCATAACTAACATTACTATTAATGCTAATTCTTCTTTTTCAAAAAATAAACACTTTTGGGACCAGCAGTTGGCATAATGGCTATGTCACTGGACTCCCTCCCATGTAGTCAATCGTGGTTTGAGTCCTGGACCCGGTGGCTTAAACTCACATCAGGCGCGTGTGTGTGCATGCCCAAGATCCCGAGAGGAGAAGGGATTGCGGCATGGCCATCACCCCTGGGGTGGGGGGGAGGGGGGTCTCGCTTTCTGTTTCTCTGTCTCTCTGTGTCTTTCTGGAGAGCGCTCACACCCTATAGCAAAAACCTTTAAAAATATAATAAATAAGTAAATAAATAAATAGACACTTCCACTAACCTGACAGTTGTACACCAGCATCTTCTCCACTTTCTGAGTTTAAAAGAGAGTTTTCTAGGATTTGAGCTGTACTGATGATAACATCACAGGATGCAACAACTTCTGGAAATGATATTTTCAATTGAGTATCACCACTTAATCTAATTACACGATACCATTTCCTCAAAAATGGATTGAACTCTTTGCGGAATAGTTGTTCAACTAATGGTACCTTTAAAACAAAACAAAAACAAAAAAAAAGCAAAGTTTAAATTTTTAAAAAGAGAGAGAGAGCATAGTCAAAGCAAAAAGATTATTGATCAAAGGCCTACCATGCTTCAGGTATTAGAAGAGGTGTTATCAGTTAATTAGTGTAATGTATCAATCATTCCTTTCAATATCTGTCAATAACCATTTTTAAAAAGAATTATTTGTGTAATACCTTTTGTTATTATTATTATTTTTTAATTTGACCGGACAGAGACAGAGAAAAAAGGAAAGCGAGAAAGCAAGCCACCAGGTCTGGGACTTGAACTGTGGTCAACCATGTGGGAATCCAGTGCCTTTAATCACCACACAACTTGCCAATCCCTGTGAGTTACCATTTGTTGAATGCTTGGTAAGTGTAGATATTGTGGTCTTGGACACAAAGGTGTTTAAGACATAGTTGATAGCTTTGGAGAACTCAGTCTAGCTGAGCACATAGATCAAGATGAGGCAAAACAAAACACATGAGTACAATATAGTAATTTCCCCATAAAAAACATAGAGTGATAGTATCAGGAAAGAGCAACTAACTGCATAGAAGGCTTTATAAAGAATTTGAATGTAATAAGTCTCCGGGCAGTGAAGAGATAAAATGAAGGTTGGATAAAGTAATTTTTAATCTATAGAGCAGGCCCAGGCTACAAATGACTATGATCACCAAGTAGAGTATTTTAAATGTATTGGGTTGTCAGAAAAGTCATGACGCAGTCTGGTATAGAAAAACATGTCATGACTCCCCTGACAACCTAACAGTGTAAGAGTTCACAGGCTCCTTAATGATTATATTGTAGAGGTTATGTATTTCCATTGTTTATTTGGGCATTAGACCAGAGGAAGCACAGCTAAAGGACTGGAAGAAGCAGAAAACAGAAAGTGAGGAGTTAAGGCATTGACTAGCAGAAAGGATGTGAAGTGAGGAATAGCTTCAGTGGCTGAACAAGAATAATACAACAAATAAGCTTGGCAAAAGAAGTGTGAACTTGTGATCATTTTTCAGCTGGGTCTCAATATGTTGTAATACCTGCTAAAGGTGGTTGGATTGACACTCAAAGTTATACATTACTAGTCACTCAGAATACCTCCTGGGTCAGGAGAAAGAATAGCCAGCTATTTTAAAGGTGTCCTAGAAGGATTTATACAATGGAAGCCCAGGAGTATACAATGTAGCGAATAAAGAGGTGACAGGAAGAGTTTCAGGAACAAGTCTTTAAACAAATGTACATTTAGTCCTCATAATGGTATTATCTAATAATATATGAGAGGTTACCTTTTCACTGGTCTGCACTGTACAAATGATTCATCCTTTTACTTGAAGTGTGCCTGCTTATGTGTTAAATAATGGTTTACTGATCCCCTGGCTAAGGATGACAATGCATTACAACATTGTTTTGCAATAATATTTTGTAGAAATAATAGAGGCTTCTAAGAGTGGGTATCTGGGCATGGGGGAAGGAAGAGGGAAAATGCAACCAATGAATGCCAATGAAACAAAGTGGATTTAAAAATCAATAATCAAGGTTGACGAGTGAAAGGATTTAACACGGGAGAAAGAGTAAGAAGAGAAATTTTCATTCAGTGTTTTTTGTTAAAGTCAAGTCAGCCTAATTTATCTGCCACAAAAATCACTTAAAAGATTTGGAAAATGCAGACTCCTGAGCCTCATTCAAAAAAACTGTTGAATCCAGAGACTATCTCTGGAGACAGCCTTGAGATTTTCACTTCAATGACAGCTCCCATGTGACAGTTAAGTCTTTAAAATGTGAAAGTCATAGTTCTCCTCTCTCTCTTCCATAAACCATTCCTGATTCATTTTTCCTGAAGTATTCTTTCCATTCAACTTGTGCAAGACAGTGGGAGGAATCTGAGAAAGAAGTCAGAAAGATTTTGAGGATGGAAATAGAAATTAAATTAAATTAAATTAAAAGAGGTAGCATAATCCAAAGAGAAGAAAGCCCTGAAAACAGCCACTTCAGCTCCTTGCTTACTGTGTGATTTCAGACAAGGTCTGCATCTCAGTCATCCAAATTTCAACCTTAAGAAAATGAGGAAAATGCTAAGTATAATAGAGTTGAAAAAAATTAAATGTAACAGAGGCTGACATATTGCCAGTACTCAGAAAACTTCCTTGATATTTCACCTATCTTATTCTAGCCATGGCATATGGTGGAAAGAGAAGCCCAGATGATTTCAGAAGATAAGGGTTTAAGTCTCACTTCTGCAGCTTGTTGATTGAGTAACTCCAGCAAGGCCAATTAAAGTCTTGGAGTCTTGGTTTTCTGATGGGTAAAACAGGGATACTAGTGGCTACCTTGTAGAGAAGCTGCGTGGATTGAATGAGATAACGTATCCGAGAGGGGTTTGCAAAGTATAAGAAAACATTACATTATCAACATACATCTTTTATCTCCCTTCTAGATTTTAGATTCCTTGAGGACAAGATCTGCATTTGATTTATCTTTAAATATATTCTTGCTGAATGATTTTATTAAATATCTCTGAAGTGACACAACAACTTGTGATTCTGCCCTTGAAAGGTGAGTCAAATCTTACAAAGCAGCAGCATCTCCTGATCTACAGAATAAAAAGAAGTTGTCACAGGAGATAGCAGGTGTGGGAAATCCTGGATACTCGCTCTGGGTGGTGTTGACTTCCTACTGAAGGACACAGAGAAAGCCAGATGCAAGTCTGACATGGCTAATTGGGAGGTGTGTGGTCCTTTTGGAACCTTTTCCTGAGATGTGACAGAGTTCTTGCCAAGACTAATCAAACCCAACTGCTACTCACTTCTGCTGAATCATATGGGGCTGCATTACAGCATCTGAAGGAACCTGGGATCTATCTCTCAGGATGTTGAAACCCTACATAGGAAATGCAAAGTCTGGGAACACAGGTGGTGTTTTCATTTCTCCCTGCATTTGAAGGCTATAACTTTGGAAAGGATGGACGGAGGAAGGGAGATGAAAGTAAATGGTGTAAGGAAAAAGAAGATCTCTTTTCTAGATTGGAGGTTACAAGGCCTTCCTATTGGGCCAAATGCAGAAAGAAGGTTAGGTTGACTTGCTGGGCCAGGGATTTCCTGGTTCAACCAAAAATAATTGAAGCTGCAATTATTTTTAAAATTCAAAAACAATAGGAAAGTAAACATTGTGACATAGATGAAAAAACTACTGGAGGAAATACTAAAAAGTCTGAGGAGAAAAACAACAGGGAAACAGATCATGGATTACATTTATGTACTTACATGTCCACAAAACAATGCAATGAATATAAATCATCAATGAGGCTTAATTAACATTTAAACATGACCATAAATGTGTACTAGTAAGAATCACCTAGATCCAATGGGATAAAAGACTTCTATAAAAGCATCGCATTGGGAGGAGAAGGAAATATTATGGAAAGGAAAATGCATTACACACATGCAAAAATGTAAGACCTGAAATAATCAATCAATAAGAATGCCATAAATAGATAAAATAAGTATTTTCATTTAGGCTCAAAAATTAACTGCACAAAAATAAGTTATGAGAGTTCTGGTTTGTTTTCAAATGAAAAGGAACTGAGGATGTTGAGTTTATGTCAAGTTCCAGATGAGTCTGTGGATGCCAAAGATAAACCTAGTCACAGATGAGTGTCACATCTCTTCTCTCCTACACTCTGCATGGGTAAAACCATATCTGTAGTATTTTTTTTTCCAGCTCTAGAGGCTGTGTTTGAAGAGGGTTTTAGAAAAATGTCTGAAAGAGTTGGCTGAGTACATGTAGGGTTTTCTAACAGTGTCAGTTGTTCAAACAATGACTGGTACTCTTGTTATAATGAGAACCTTCTTGATAATAGAGGTTACCTACCAGAAGTGAAAGAACCATTTTGTAAAGGAAAAGGCTTTATTTCAAAGGGCCCTTATAATTTTAACTTCTATGACCCTGTGAGCAGATAAAAGGTAGTAGATGAATCAAAAATAACTTCTAGGGGCCAGCATGTGGCATGATGGTTAAGGTGCTGAACTCCCATATGACCATCTGCAGCTTAAATCTGGGACCTGGTGGCTTGAAAATCATGCTGGGTGTGTGTGCACGCATGGCCCAAATACCAGGAGAATGGAGGAGAAGGGACTGTAGCATGGGCAGTCCCCTTAGGGGATGATTTCTCACTTTTCCTCTCTCTGTCCTTCTCAAGCAAGCGCACGCAACCTATGGCAAAAACCTAAATAAATAAATAACTCCTAAGTTTTGAGTCTACATACTTTGCCATTTAAATGGAAGATGGTAAAACTGAGTTTCAGAAAATAGCAGAATGTTCAAACGATACATATATAAAAAAAAACAGTTTAAGTGGTTTTGAATACATTTAACTTTTCTTTACACCTGGCACTTAAGATCTTGTTCTCTGGCTAAGGTATTTGATTTCATTAGTTATAAAGATGAGGGAGAAATAATAGGATAAAAAGGCTTGTGTTTACTCAGTCATTGCTATGCAATAAGCATAATATCTCATTTAAATTTAAGAATAGGTAGTTATTAATTCATTCGTTTTACAGATAAAAAATGAAATTTAGAGAAGTTGGTAATTTCTCTAAGATCAAACTACTGTAGGTAAAAATAGGATTCAAACTATTTTATTTTTTTTAATATTATTATTTACAAAGGGAATATATAAAAGGCTGTGGGCATGGGACCAGCAGATGGCATAAAGGTTACATTGTTGGACTCCCACATAGTCAACCACAGTTCCAGTCCCAGACCTGGTACTTCAAACTTACACTAGGTGCAAATGCATGTGTGCCTAAAATCCCAAGAGGAGAATGGAGGAGAAAGGATTGCAGCAGGTCACCCCCCTGGAGGGTGATTTCTCCCTTTCTGTCCTCTCTGCCTCTGTCTCTTTGGCAAGTGCATGCTCCCTGTAGCAAAAATCTCTCTTAAAAAAAAAAAAAAGTCTATGAGTAAATAAATTCTAACGTATCATTATCACTAGAAAAGGAAATAAAAATGTTGTATACAGTATGAATTCTTTGGTCTTAGCACATACATACAAAGCCCACTTCGAACTACATGATGAAAATCATGTAAGTCATGGATTCTGAGTATGTTTTCCAGTCCTGAAAAGCAGGTTGCAACTAAATCTTTAGCCATAATAAAAATCCAAAAATATACAAAATTGTATAGTTTATTGCAATATTTTTCTATAAAGAAATAGGTAAGAATGGAAAAATGACTGTGTCTGGTAACAAAAAATATATTCAATTTTATTACATAAAATAGTAAAGAACAATATTCATAATTTACCAATTTATTAATATAGTCTCATTTACCTGAATAAAGCTCAAATACCTAGACTTGCCTTACAGTGAATGAGTTTATACCGACTTAGGAAGATGATCTTCAGATATCTAAGATAAAAATGATCAAAGAAAGATTTCAGTTGTGGTTAATGTAGTACATATATTATGTATTTATCTATCTATTGGGTTGTCAGAAAAGTCACAATGGATTTTTGCATAGAAAAACAAAGAAAAATATGTCATGACTTTTCTGACAATTCAAGATATCTATAATATATACATTATATATATGTATATGTATATGTATATGTGTGTGTGTGTGTGTGTGTGTGTGTATAAAATCTTTGTTTGTTTTGTTTTGTTTTTGCTATAGCGCATGTGTCCTCATCAGAGAAAGACAGAGAGAGACAGTGAGAGGAAAAGTGGGAATTCACCACCCGAGGTAGATATCCACACCACAATCCCTTCTCCATTCTTGTCTCAGGATTTTGGGCACACGTGCACACCCATCTATTGTGATTTTCAAGCCACAATTCCAGGACTTAAACCATGTTGTCAGACATGTGGGATCCACCTGCCTTAACTTTCATGCCACCTGATACACACACACACACACACACACACACACACACACACACAGTGAAAGAACCATTTTGTAAAGGAAAAGGCTTTATTTCAAAGGGCCCTTATAATTTTAACTTCTATGACCCTGTGAGCAGATAAAAGGTAGTAGATGAATCAAAAATAACTTCTAGGGGCCAGCATGTGGCATGATGGTTAAGGTGCTGAACTCCCATATGACCATCTGCAGCTTAAATCTGGGACCTGGTGGCTTGAAAATCATGCTGGGTGTGTGTGCACGCATGGCCCAAATACCAGGAGAATGGAGGAGAAGGGACTGTAGCATGGGCAGTCCCCTTAGGGGATGATTTCTCACTTTTCCTCTCTCTGTCCTTCTCAAGCAAGCGCACGCAACCTATGGCAAAAACCTAAATAAATAAATAACTCCTAAGTTTTGAGTCTACATACTTTGCCATTTAAATGGAAGATGGTAAAACTGAGTTTCAGAAAATAGCAGAATGTTCAAACGATACATATATAAAAAAAAACAGTTTAAGTGGTTTTGAATACATTTAACTTTTCTTTACACCTGGCACTTAAGATCTTGTTCTCTGGCTAAGGTATTTGATTTCATTAGTTATAAAGATGAGGGAGAAATAATAGGATAAAAAGGCTTGTGTTTACTCAGTCATTGCTATGCAATAAGCATAATATCTCATTTAAATTTAAGAATAGGTAGTTATTAATTCATTCGTTTTACAGATAAAAAATGAAATTTAGAGAAGTTGGTAATTTCTCTAAGATCAAACTACTGTAGGTAAAAATAGGATTCAAACTATTTTATTTTTTTTAATATTATTATTTACAAAGGGAATATATAAAAGGCTGTGGGCATGGGACCAGCAGATGGCATAAAGGTTACATTGTTGGACTCCCACATAGTCAACCACAGTTCCAGTCCCAGACCTGGTACTTCAAACTTACACTAGGTGCAAATGCATGTGTGCCTAAAATCCCAAGAGGAGAATGGAGGAGAAAGGATTGCAGCAGGTCACCCCCCTGGAGGGTGATTTCTCCCTTTCTGTCCTCTCTGCCTCTGTCTCTTTGGCAAGTGCATGCTCCCTGTAGCAAAAATCTCTCTTAAAAAAAAAAAAAAGTCTATGAGTAAATAAATTCTAACGTATCATTATCACTAGAAAAGGAAATAAAAATGTTGTATACAGTATGAATTCTTTGGTCTTAGCACATACATACAAAGCCCACTTCGAACTACATGATGAAAATCATGTAAGTCATGGATTCTGAGTATGTTTTCCAGTCCTGAAAAGCAGGTTGCAACTAAATCTTTAGCCATAATAAAAATCCAAAAATATACAAAATTGTATAGTTTATTGCAATATTTTTCTATAAAGAAATAGGTAAGAATGGAAAAATGACTGTGTCTGGTAACAAAAAATATATTCAATTTTATTACATAAAATAGTAAAGAACAATATTCATAATTTACCAATTTATTAATATAGTCTCATTTACCTGAATAAAGCTCAAATACCTAGACTTGCCTTACAGTGAATGAGTTTATACCGACTTAGGAAGATGATCTTCAGATATCTAAGATAAAAATGATCAAAGAAAGATTTCAGTTGTGGTTAATGTAGTACATATATTATGTATTTATCTATCTATTGGGTTGTCAGAAAAGTCACAATGGATTTTTGCATAGAAAAACAAAGAAAAATATGTCATGACTTTTCTGACAATTCAAGATATCTATAATATATACATTATATATATGTATATGTATATGTATATGTGTGTGTGTGTGTGTGTGTGTGTGTATAAAATCTTTGTTTGTTTTGTTTTGTTTTTGCTATAGCGCATGTGTCCTCATCAGAGAAAGACAGAGAGAGACAGTGAGAGGAAAAGTGGGAATTCACCACCCGAGGTAGATATCCACACCACAATCCCTTCTCCATTCTTGTCTCAGGATTTTGGGCACACGTGCACACCCATCTATTGTGATTTTCAAGCCACAATTCCAGGACTTAAACCATGTTGTCAGACATGTGGGATCCACCTGCCTTAACTTTCATGCCACCTGATACACACACACACACACACACACACACACACACACACACACATACTTAACAGTAAACATTGTTTATCTATTTAACTTGATATAGATAAAGTATCCATTGTTAACCAAAGGTCAGCAGTTAAACTCTTAAACAACCTCTGATATAAGAATCAGTAATATTTTGGGGTCATCCATGTTCACAAGCAATGAGAAGTTAGTACCACTTAACATTATAGTATATCCAGATAAATACAACCTTTGTATGTATGTTATAACTATTTGGCTTAATGTCCTGGTTTTACAAAAAAAAAAAAAGTATTTTAAAGTTAATCACTAAGATGTTACATATACTTAAAAAAAAAATAAAATAAAAGAGTAAAAAATAAAATAAATGGTTGGCCCAGCCCCTGTTGTGCAGGCTGTAGAGCACCAGTGAACAATGTTGGAGCTGCACAGAAGGCCAGTTCAGATCCTGGACCAACCTAAATATGCTGGGCACAGCGGTGTGCACCGTAATCCTAGCTAACTGGGAGGCTGGAATAGGAGGATTGTGGCATGGTGAGACCCTGTTGAAAAGACCAGTCTCTCTGTCTGTCTCTCTAATGCTCATAAATAAGCAAACAAACAAATAAATGGTGTATTTTGACAATCCCTCTAATTAAAGTAAATCTTTGTGATCCATTGCTACAAATGTCACTATATAAATGCTTTGGAATAATACAGTAAAATGAAAATGAACAAGTCATTTTATATTTTGTGTTGTTTAAATACCTTGTTGACAAGAACTATAACTTTTCCAGGCTCAGATGCTTTTTTCTTCTTGTCCAGGTGATCCTTGGCAATGTAAACGGCCACCCTGGTTTTTCCACTCCCTGTAGGGAGGCATATGATGATATTCTTCCCTTCCAAGGCTGGTTGGGCAACTTCCATCTGGTAAGGCCTGAGCTGTAGTTCTGGCTCAGGCGATGCTCTTCCCACCACATTCTCTTCATCTGAAGGCAAGTAAAAGGGAAAGAAAGAAGTAAGAAAAGGGAGCAAACAAAATAACTAAGGCTAGGAAGTCTAAAACTGAACATAGGCCCCTTCTGGCTTAAATTTCTTTTCGTGAGTGTCCAAACTAATCCATTTTTTAATTTTCTGTAATGTCAGCTTACAGGTTACAACTCAGGTGCTCCATCATGCATGGCAGGGCATAGAGGGGTGGAGGTGGACAACATGAGTGAAGAGGGAGTAGATGAACAGGATGGAGCACTGGGAGGGGGTGGCCTGGGGGAGTGTTTTTGCAGAACAGGCAAAGCCAGGAGGAATCTATAGAGGGTTTGTGGTGCAGCACTGGCAGTTACGATCATTAATGCATCAGCCATCTCTCAGTTGTTTGTCCAAGCCCTTCCACCTATCAAGTGGAGAGGAGGTGGAAACGTAGGAATCATTAGTTCTCTTTGATTATAATGAAGAAATTACAGCCAATACTACTTTCCTTCATTTGTAAAAACTTTTTCTGAGAACCAAATACCAAAAAGCACGTAAAATCTCTTACTAACTCAGGTCTCTTTTCTCATTTGAGACAGCTAGGTGTTACAGAAGTGATATTGAGAGAATACCCTTCCCCTACTGGCCTTTAATTAGTAGGTTTTTATTGAAAGGCAAAATATAATTTTGTGGGTTTAAATTGTGACTAATTTTGCCACTTAGTTTAGAATTGTGACCTTTATTATTTTTCTACATGCATATCTCCATGTAGTCACACTTTGCTTGAAACCTAAGGCACACTATATTAAAAATATTTCCAATTAACACAGATTTTTAAATTTAAAATAAAACTAAAGTGTGTACTAACATTCATTAATTTCATGAATTGTAAAATCAAATTACTAAAATATATCCTGTTTTAAATATATTTTATTTAGAACTGACAAATTTATATAATAGCTAATTAGACATATTTTCTAATAGCTAATTTAGCTAACAGCCAAGAGAAAACGATATAAAATGCATAGCTTATAATGTGAAATGAAGTAAAGTGAATATTATACCTATTTAAAAGATTACCTTATGCCTTATATAATCACACGCACACGCACACACACACACACACACACACACACACACACGAAATGACAGTTCTTATCAGTGTTTCACCACACATCAAATAAGAGTTCTTTCTCTTATCAGATTGCAATAAAACTAAACTAACATAATCCCATTAACTTAAAAAAACTTGCTGATGGCTCTATTTCAGCAACTGGATCATTCTATTTGCACGGGTTTTAACTTGTTGTGATAGTACTATCTGAACAGGTAGGGAAATTCACACCAAATACCACTTAGTGAGAACCATCTACTAACCTGGCAGGAAGTTTGCCTTCTATGTGGATGAGTAAAGACAGATGCAATACTTTTAAGCTATCACTGGGTCATCTGCTGATGTATTTAATACGATTTTTATGAAAAACTCATTCAAGATCAGTAGCATTTAAAATATATTTCCAAGCTTTCAACGTTTGCTTTGAACTCTACAGTATTTACAATAATTCATCTTCTATTATATTTATGTTGGGTTCATATTTATAAAAACAGCATTGCTCCTCTATTAAGTGGCTTTTACAGGTAATCAGCATGCTAATATTTCACCTGTAGTAAGGGCATTTATCACTTAAGTTTCCTAAAAGAGTCAGAATATTTGCAAAGGAAGATGTATTTTAAGTAGTGTCATAGCCTAGATCCAGGAATTTACTTTGACTAAATGGCTATTTTATCTAAGAAGTTTGTTAAAAGATACCAAGAAAGTCTTTTTGTTTAACTCTACTCTAGATACATTTTTGCATAGATTTTTAAATTACTAATAAAATGTTACTTCTCTGACAATAGTGGCAGGTACATTTCAATAACTATTTCCCCTTTTCCTTACTACAGTATTCTTGGATGACAAAGATTAAAATGAGAAACATACAGCAGTTTTCTAAGTCTCTTACCCAGGAATCTAAAACCAAGTCAAATAAGGAAAATATCAACATCATCACGCATACTAGGTATGTATTGTACTGACAATTTAAGAAGAATTTGAATGTTCAATGGCTAGCATATTGAAAATTTAACTGCAGAACCAAAGTCATGAGGTGTTACTGCTCCTTACCTGGTCATGGATCAGGAATAAATTCTGCAATTAATATTTATTGGATTCCATAATATGCCATGCATACTAAGAATACAGTTGCTGAATTCAAGGACTTCAGAGCTAGGGCACTACACTGTTGCCACTAAAAATATCTGGCTAGAGATAGCTCAATAATCTTCCATATTTTTAAGTCAAGACTAGGAGATTTGATGGCTAGGCCCAAGTTTAAAAGAGAACGCAAAGTAGATATGGAAAGAAGTAGAGTTGGAGTCAATGTGAGAATATCATCCAAAGAAAAAGAGTGGGGTAAGTGCTAAAAATTCAGCCTGATTCTTGTCTTATCACATCCTCTGACATAGGGATGAAGAATTTATCCTCAAAAGCAATGAAACGAGAGTTTGCTCTTCTCTGTCACCAGAAGGAAAGAACTGGGCTGGTATCAATGAGCTAAGAGCCAATTTCCTTTATAAAGGAAATGTTTGGGTTTTTTGTTTGTTTGTTGTTTGTTTGCTTTTGGCTCTCTCTGAAAAGTGTGATCAATTAAACACAGCAAGGAAAATGATATTTAAAATATGCACAGGCTTTGAATAACATTGTGTCCTCCCTTTAGAACAAATATTGATTAAAGACCTTACAATTATACCACATAAATGGTCCAAAAAAATAAAAAGAAATCAAATAGGGTTTAAATAATAATATTCTATTGGAACTACACCATGTGGCAAATTTCATTCTCACATTGATTTTGACAGCTGAGTTATTCTTGGAGAGAAAAGGTCTGTCACTGCATGTGTTTGAAATCGACAAAGTATTCCTTTACCTATAGTATGTAGCCACAGAAAAATACGCCTTCCAGCTGGACAAATATTAATAGGCATTACCTCGAAATAGTAAGGAAACACTTTCAACATATCAAGCCAATATGTATTGCCAAAAACATTGCTGCTTTTAGAAAAGCACTGTATCTCTCTGAAAATGGGAAGGAAATATTTTATAATATAATTAGAATATTAACATTTTAAAAGTACCAATAATTATGTCTTGTATGGCATAGTACTTCCATAAAGGGACATGATATGATTGTACTTGGTCACACAATCTTTTCAGTCTATTACATGACCTTGAAAGAGGAGAAGGTACATGGAGAATAAGGTCCCTTTTGATGTCAACCTCAAAGGTTAAAATATATTTGCAAACACTGTAATATTTTCAGGGACTCAATATGTCTTTAATGGTTCACCAATTAAACTAAACCTTTTTTGGAAATAATTTCTATTACAGCTTATACCATGTATTTGAGGGTAAGGAGTTTTATCATTTTCTTATTTCAGAATTTTATTACCCACTATGCAAAGCAATTCCTTGCTTCTAAGCACTGACCCATCTAGAATTTCAAAAGGGTGTCCCTTGAAAATGTGTTTGTCTTGAAAAACATATTTACTTTGGAAAATAAGTGTATTTGCTTTTCAAAAGTAGATTGCGTTTGGATATATCATGTCTTTCATGCCACATTGAGGACTAAAAATCAGCAAATACATTTGCTAACAGCTCTAAGTAGGCAAAATGCCCTGTGCATAAAAGATACACATTAAATATTTATTGAATGAATGAATATTGTTGAAAAGCCCTTACTTAGACAAATAAAAATTAGGATGAAGTCCAAAAGCTTAAAACAACCCATAAAAATGTTAAATATTAGCTAGAGTATAATTTGAGCTTCAGCATCAATAGCATGTAATAGAAGTGGTAATTATTAAATTGAACAGTTTTATGACATGTATAAAATGGCAAGAACTTAATAAACACCAGTTGACTTGAACAGAAAATGAATTAACTCTTTAAAATTAATATAAAAGTTATGACTGATGTGGTGAATTAGGTTTCCTCAAATAACTTATTTTCAGGGATTCAGGAATGTGATTGGGAGAAAAGGATGTATAGATAAAAGAGGTAGTACCATCCGGTTTGGAAAGCTTCTAGGATTAATGATGATATCTATATAAACTATTTGTCCTTTTAGGCTTACTGTGGATCTAAATTTCTATAATTCTTCTGATAATGCAGGAGAATTCAAGTTATACATTATCTTCTAAATTGACACAACTCAATCACAAATGAAGAATAAAGTAATTTGTTTCTTAATTTGTCAGTTTTCCACTGCTTCATCAATAGCCACATTGCAAAACATGATTTTGTTGTTGTTTGTATGTTGTTAGTTTTAATTATGAAATGTTTTAAATACATAGACAAATATAGAAAGGTGTGTAACAGACATCCAACAATCCATCACCCATACTTAAAAGATGTTAACACTTTTAGCTGAGTAGTAATCATGAAAATACACACTCAAAGAACTAAAAGAAATATTCAAAATGTATTAGACTGTAAAAAATCAGTATCAGGAGTATTGGTGAAGGTGTGAGGGGTGGGGAATAGACACCGTTTTTTATTGTTGGGGGGAGATACACAACCAATACGGAGAGCAACTGGGGAACTTTTAGTTCAGTTAGTGGTGAAAATATCTTGCAAATTCTACTCTTATTAAAGAGCAATTTGTACAAATTAGAACTCCTTTAACTGTATATTTCATTCTAGTTCTTCCTTTGAACAGGGACTCTGTTACCCACAGTGTCTACACAGTCACATTCTTCTTATTAATAGTATTAATATTTTTATTTAAGATGTATAAAATTAATATAAAAGTTATGACTGATGTGGTGAATTAGGTTTCCTCAAATAACTTATTTTCAGGGATTCAGGAATGTGATTGGGAGAAAAGGATGTATAGATAAAAGAGGTAGTACCATCCGGTTTGGAAAGCTTCTAGGATTAATGATGATATCTATATAAACTATTTGTCCTTTTAGGCTTACTGTGGATCTAAATTTCTATAATTCTTCTGATAATGCAGGAGAATTCAAGTTATACATTATCTTCTAAATTGACACAACTCAATCACAAATGAAGAATAAAGTAATTTGTTTCTTAATTTGTCAGTTTTCCACTGCTTCATCAATAGCCACATTGCAAAACATGATTTTGTTGTTGTTTGTATGTTGTTAGTTTTAATTATGAAATGTTTTAAATACATAGACAAATATAGAAAGGTGTGTAACAGACATCCAACAATCCATCACCCATACTTAAAAGATGTTAACACTTTTAGCTGAGTAGTAATCATGAAAATACACACTCAAAGAACTAAAAGAAATATTCAAAATGTATTAGACTGTAAAAAATCAGTATCAGGAGTATTGGTGAAGGTGTGAGGGGTGGGGAATAGACACCGTTTTTTATTGTTGGGGGGAGATACACAACCAATACGGAGAGCAACTGGGGAACTTTTAGTTCAGTTAGTGGTGAAAATATCTTGCAAATTCTACTCTTATTAAAGAGCAATTTGTACAAATTAGAACTCCTTTAACTGTATATTTCATTCTAGTTCTTCCTTTGAACAGGGACTCTGTTACCCACAGTGTCTACACAGTCACATTCTTCTTATTAATAGTATTAATATTTTTATTTAAGATGTATTTTGATAAAAATATAGAGCTTGGGACTAAATAAATGTACCAAACTGAAAACAGAATTTAAATGCAGTCGAATTAATTGAAACAGATCTCATAAACAGGTGATGTGATTATATGGAATGAGGCATATGCCAGGCCACAAAGGTAGATAATAGATCAGAATTAGTGAGTTTTGTTCTAAGACTTTTGTAAGTTGCACTTTTAAAGAAAGTAAATGGCAAAGTTCCAAAACGACTTCACTGTAGAAAAGAATTGCTTTAATTGCATAAATACATTAGGGAGGGTATGAACAGCCCCCATGGTTTCCACTATATGGCGTCTTATTTCACACTTTTTAAGGTTTACACAACAGTTAGGCAGTACCTGAATCACTTCCCATGGTGCCTGAATCACTGCCCATGTTGCTGTTATGTCCAAGACTTTCATCTAAGCAGCTGACACTTCCTTCTGCCAAACTTGTGTCTGATTCTGCAAAGGAAAACATTTTAAAATATTTTAAAAATATTTCTGAGAATAAACGTATTTTAACTGCACACCTCTACAGCACACAGTACATACAGTTCAATGCAAGTGGAGAAGGAACACCCAGACAATCATGAATAAAAGGCAAAGTTTCTGGCAGCCTATGTCCAAAAAAATCCAGTATGGATGAGCAGCTGCTGAGTGGTGAATCAAATATATATTACCTACTTAACATATATGTCCAATATAAAAGCTAATGCAAATTTGTGAGGATTTAAGACTTTTGTCATCCCTTTACATGTAAAACTGTGCCCCTAAAGAGAATATTTAGGCTTGATCCTGTCTTTAAAACAAAAAAATGTCAGATATAAGTCTTTGAACTATTCTTATGTAAAATGGTAAAGAATTAATAACAGATAAAGATTAACAAGGTACATGGATCCACTCATTGATTATAAAAAATGGTAGTTCAGTAATAAACATAAATTTAAAATCTCAAAGCGAATTAACTCAAAAAGAAATTAACTAAAGATTGGTATCATAACTGTAACAGAGGATTGTGGGAGGTTGGAAATAAGTACTTCCCTTTACTATAATTAAGTTAGGCTTCCATCAAACAGTTACAGTTAGTATAAACAGCAAAGGCACACCCTTCACCTACTAATGCTGATTTTCTGTTTTTAGTACTCAGTATCAATTCTTTTTGAAAATCCTACTTCCCTCTGGGGAAGAATGTTTTCCTCAGGGTTTATCTCCAAAGACTTATGCATTCTCATCCTCCAGGATCAGAACTACCATCAAACTGGTAAAAATCAATGCACTGTGGTTACTAACGCTGGCTTTGAAATCAGAAGGACCTGCAAAATTTGCTATTGTCTGGTCTGAGCATAAGTTCCTCTTATCATTAAACCACTTTGATAATCCATTAGTAGACTAGCTTAATGGCTAGTGGCTAGAAAATGAAATCAAAATCAAGTAGTTGATATTTACTAGGGTAAGAGTTCCAACTAAGATGTTCTTCTTAAAAGTAATGACATTTCATAATATTTATTATTTGTTAGATAATTATGATTTCATACTAAAACTAATTTACTAATAAAGTAGCCTTTACTTATTTAAAAACTAGTCTGAATTTTATATATTTTATGTGGAAATAGAAATTGATGAAGAACACACACATACTATCTTATTAATAAAACTTCTATGAGAAGAGATATACAATTCCTTCAAGTACCTTCTTTGCCTTTGATTATTAAGTTTTCCACGTCAGATGTATTGAGGTATAATTTAAATACTGTAAAAGTCATTCTTTTAAGGTGTACAGTTTGATGAGTTTGACAAACGCATACAGTTTTATAACCACCATCACAATTAAGATATTTCCATCACCCCTCAAAATTTCCTCAAGCCCTTTTGTAGTCAATTCCCTCCTGCAATTGCTGATAATAACTGATCTGCTCTTCGTCTCAACTTTCCAAAATACTATAAAAATGAATTTGTACAAAAGGGAAACTTTAAGTCTGACTTCTTTAACTTAGTATAAGTCTTTTGAAATTTAACCATGCTGCATGCGTATCAGTGATAAATATATCATTTCTTACTGCTGACCAGCTTTACATTGAATATCTGTGACATCCACGACATCTCCCTTGCAATTTGAATAAGTCTGTTTAGCTTGAGAAATATAATGAAATTACAGCCAATACCAATCAAATATGTTAGACATCTTTCTTAAAAGTTAAAGGAAAGCTGATAAGAAAATTGTAGAAAAATTCTCAATGGACATACATACTGTTTAAGTATATTAGCACAACATAAATATACTAATGTGAAAATACTGTGCTTATCAGTTGTCATAGATTAGCTCTAAAACTCAGATTTGAGGAATCCCTTATGATCACACGGGAAAACCTGTATATCTCACTGAGAGATTTTAAATATGGCACTTTGCAATTCCCAGAGGTATGTCTTGTTAGAAGCTCAGAGGCGAGTGTGGGATAGAACTGTCAAGCAGAAGAGCGTTTTGGGCAGATGTACTGATGAAAAGAGAATATGATTTGTAAGGAAAAGGCAAGGTGTAAAATGAGATGGGGAAAATGTCATTGCAAGGATAATTCTAGATCTAGAAATATAGGCCAAGATTTTTGAGGCAAAAAAGTGAGTTCCAACATGCTTTTTTTCATTTGCTGTTTTAAATGTAGCACAGGGAATGAAGAATACCAAAATAACTAAAAAAAATTAACAAATATTATTTGAAAATCTATCACTGTTTCATTATGTTTTCCATGAACTGAAATAGAAAGAAAAATTATATTTGATTTTCCTTCATTTTCTAATTACTAGTAATTAAACAATAATCTTAAACCTAATCCATGTACATGTAAAAGTCAACATTTTCCTCAAGTTTTGTTCTAATGTACATAAGTTTGGGAGAAGGTATTGATGTAATATGCATGAATAGTTTATGAATATTAAAGAAAGTTGCTATCAAAAATAGGCTATAGTTAACTAAACTCATTATCTTTATTCTTTTATCTAAGAAACCAATCTGCAGTGCCAGAAAGACACGGAGCTCCAGGATTTCATAGATGGAATACAAATTACATTTTGGGCTCTCAGAATCCTTGGTGGTAAATACTCATTATCACCTTGATGTTTTAGGTAAGAAACCAAGGCTCAGAGAAGTTAAACACTTTCTCCAAATCACACAGCTAGAATGGGGCAGTGTCTCTAGTTTCCGAATCTAAGTGCAGCATGGAAGTGTTTTTTACCCAACACCAAGCATGGCTGATGATTTGTGCTGAGTTAATAATCCAGCGAACAATCCTATATTTATAATGCTCAGTGAAATGAAAGTGTCTATTTTTTTTAAATAATAGAGATTTCTATTGTAATTTCAAATTTTCTATCGGTCTTGAAACAGCTTAACTTTACAAAAAATAAGTTTTTTTTTTAAATTTTGCTAACATTTGTGACTTCATTGATAGATTTTCATTAACTTTACATTGAAGCATCTACATTTATTTTTAAACTTTTTTCTGCACACAAGTAAAAAGGAAACCTTCTGTTCCTGTTGCACAACATAAATTACAATAATTCTGGTAGAGATTATTATGAAAACGACAGTGAATATATAGAGCTCTATTTCTTTGTCATTTCAAGAGTATATAAATCTCTGGTTTCTTCACACAAAAATAATTTTGTTTCCTAGGCAGCAAATTCTTATGCATTTTGATATGTTTTTGCTTTCATAGAAATAAAAAGTACTAAAAGCAATAAATTTAATAATAAAAGAAAATATGCGCTATTTCTTATAAGACTAAAAATGCCTTCCCCAGAGATTTTCCTACTGCACTTACTTAAAAAAAACAAATCTTATTATACACACACACATACACACACACACACACACACACACACACACACAAAACCAAAATGTGAAATAAAGAAAGTGCTTTCATGATGCCAAAATAACCTAATCTATCACATTTATATGTTAAGAATCTTTGCCATTGATTTGTGTAGGATTATCTTGTTTTGTCCTTTGCACTTTTCAAAGTATGCCAATTTGAACTTAAGTTCTAATGAATAAAATCATATGTTTATGATTTAAAGCAGGTCCTATAGAGTCAATAAAAAAAAGATAGTTAATTGGAAGCAGAGTGTTTCCCTAAAAACAGGTATTTTAGTCCCCAATAGATTGATCTCCAGATTTGAACTCAGCCACTACTAATAAGTGACTTGACTTCTCTAAAAAAAGAAAAAAAAAAGAAAAACATTCTACTTTTTCGTTTATTGTGAGAAAGATTTTGTTAAATCAAAGAAATAAATGTTAAATTCTCATGAAGTTGCTGCTTAAGAAGGCTTTCAATATTGAACTCATGTTGTACAATAAATTCCTTTCACTCTTGTGTAGGGGTCATATACCCACTAGGGAAAAAGTCAAAGCTAGCTATAAACAGATTAGGAAATGCTGGTAATTTCTAATTGTTGAAGAAAAGTAGTTATTCACATCATACCCTATTGGAATGAGAGAAATTATACTCAGTTAAGAAACAGGACTTAGCAATTTTGACTGTAATAATTTTGTAAACAACACAAAATGAACAGTTTTGCTTACAAAGACAGTGGGTGTCTATGACCGGTCCATAAGTTATGTAAAAATTCGGCTTGTTTTGTAATCACCTCTTGAATATTTTGCTAAGAAGGCAGAAATATTAACTGGAATCCAAATGACTTTATATTTAACACACCCTAGACCTTAAATACTTTACAATATTTTAAAAAATCATTTAGAAACCAAAAATATTGAAGTTAAAAATTTTTTCAAGTAAAAAAACCCCACTTGGTTGAAGGCCTTTTAAAATCTATTTCAATGTAAATTCTGCCCTCTGCTGGAAAATGCTATTATAACAAGTAGCAGACACACTGTATTTAAAGAGGTAAGCTTCATTAGTTGAAATACAAATCGGTTCTTACTTCTGCTTCTATGAGATAGTGTCTCTCCTACTTTTTCACTCCGCAGAATAGTACTCCTTTTTATCCCCTTGCTTCAGTCTGTTAAAACGTTCTCTTTCCTGAAAAACTGGTTTTGCATTACAACAGGAATAAAAATTCGAGGGGAAAGGGCCTCTGTGCAAATTGAGAAAGAAAAAGGGCACAAGCTGTGTCTCATCTCCTGAGACCTGGGGCTTATGAGGATTTCAAACAGTATAATTTCTGACCCTCCAGTTTTGTAATACGTTGAGCCTGAAATGTCACAGACAACCTAAAATCCTGAAACACATGTACGCTATGGGCACACTCGCTGACTGCACAGGCTTCTTATGTGTGTTTATTTCATACTGCTAATAACACATAGTTCCTTTTACTTTGAAATAATCTTTTGGGTTTTTTTTTTTTTGAGAGGAAATAGATTACTTTTATTTTCAGCCCCATGTATATGGATCTACACATACACACACGTGCGCACGCGCGCTCACATTTTGGTCTGTCAGATTTTGCTC